TTAGAAACACTGAAAGGTAAAACTGCTGGAAACTTCTAGAGAAAGAGGAAATAGTCCAAAATGTTTTCAGATAAATATGGAGATCTGGGGGCAATGTAAATATCTGCACTTGCTCATGATTATCAAAACCAACAATCTTGCTAAGGCATATTGTAAGAAAGAGATCTCAAGTGAGAAACAATCGAGATACACAAACACTTTGGATTGGAAATGACTGGACACGTAAGCTAGCAACAGGCTTCTACGCACCATACGAGACTGGATTAACTAGTCAGCAATGAAGAATCATGATCCCAGAAGTTGGGGTGGAAGGGAGGTTAAAACAGAAAAAGAAAAAAAAAGATAGAGCCAAAAGCACCTTTAAAAAAACCCCACCTCAAAACAAACAACAAAAAATGAATTTGAGAAAAAAAATAGATCAGGGAGGGGCATGACAGACTTCACATCTGCTTGCTCTGCAAGAGAGGGACCTTATCGTATGGACAATACCACAAAGAACACTGGGACTATTTTCTGGTCAAATAGCTCATTTCTGCATCTCTGTTCATAAAATGCATTCCTGTAGTTCTCCACCAACAGCAAAAGCATCAGCTTCTTGTAACTTCTATACACAAACCACTAGACTAACAAGCAATGAAGCAGATATATTTATTATAATGCTGTTTTATTGCAAATACAACTAATTTCACTATGGCAATCTACTGTATAAAAGCAGTGTGCCATACTCAGTCTGAACTATAAATGCAATTTTCCTCCAGGGTCAGCTGATGTAAAGTCTTGGTATATCATTTAGTGGGAGCAAGATCCATTCCTTTTCCCTTAAAGAGCTACTACCTTCTAACAAAGTTTCCTCTTACCCATTTAACAGGGCCATTATATCCCTGTGAACATGAATTCATCTGCAAGCACAAAGTCTTTGTGACATAAATAATTACCCTAAGCCCAGGCTTACATTCCCTTGACTCTGATGATGGCTTAGTCTGTGACCGGAGGCAAACCACTGAATATTTGTTCAGGCATCCCTAAAAGTGGTACAAACAACTTTGTTGTAACAGATATTTGGAAGCTTTATCAAACATGTAGGCTGCTTTAAAAGACAAAAAAATGATTGCTACAGGCTTGCTCTTGATAGAAAATCTTCTGCTGACTTCAGTAGGAATTGTAATAGGTCTTTAAGAAGCCCTCTGTAAACTAAACTTGAACCATCTAATGCAGGATCTAATTGATTGCATCTAATTGATTGCAATAGATTTGTAGGGGCTTCCATAAATACAAGTACTGCTTGTGCAAGCACAACCCAGAAGCAGAGCCCAAAAAACGGTGAGAAATGCTAGCCTTACACTCACATTTTGTTTCTGCTATGAGGCAGTTACCAACATAGTTCCTATTTGGTCTCTTGGATAAGCAACGTGATTCCAGTTTACCCTCCAAATGCAATCTGGTCCCTTAAAAGCACACTTAAGTCCATTCAATTGGGAGTGATTGAACATAAACCAAAAAGCAGCATTACTCATCTTAACATGAATTTAAGAATATGATTCTGGGGCACAGTAAATGAATCTTTCAAAAATCCCAGATAAAGTGACCGAGCTGCTCAAAAAGGATGCTGTGATGTCTTGCATCAACCAGCCTGCCTTTATTTTCTTCTGGGGCAAATAAATAGCTTTGCAAGAAAATATTTGCTTGAGGAGAAAATATAACGTTGGTTCTAATATTCAAAATGCATTCACATTTTGAACTTATCTGTCAGCTTCTAGCTCAAGGCAACAGAACTCTATTAATATTTATTTAATAATATAGGTTTAATATTTTACAAATGTTATTACAAAGCCACAGACAAGGGTAAATATGTCTGAAGCTATAATAATACACCAAACTAGAGACAAATAGAGCTGAGTAGAGAAACTAAGTCATCATAGTCAAGAGAATAATCCTCCAATCAAAGACCTGTTTTCTGTGCCTTGTTATGGTTTACCAACAATGGATGCTTCTGTTACAGTTTCCAATAGTAACTCATATAACACATATAACTAGATATTTGTGCAGATGATGAGGTGACAAAAATACCTCCTAGGAGAAGATACTGGGCTAAGTCTCCATTTTGTCAGGGTCTAATTCCTGTCCCTGCACAATAAAAATCGCACCAGTTCAGCTGAAAATAAATCATTCCAAGATTTTGGAAGACACAGCAATGGTTTCTCCTTTATAATGAAAATAAATCCGAAATAGGTAGACTTTGCTTCTCAGAAGCATCTCAGCTGGGAGATTAAATCTTATCTCACATCACTGAAGATGCAGCTGCTAACAAAGCAAACGGAGAATAAGGCTTTGACTCTGTGCATAGGCAGAGAGAGTGATTTACCCAGTCCTGTCATCATATGAGGCTGCAGCTGGTCTGCATATGAGTTTGGCTCACAGTTGTTTTACATCCTCTGGAACAAAATTAGTAATATAAGGACACCGGACCATGTTGTTCTTGGAGTGTTAAACAGGTAGCTCAAATGATCCTAAATCTTAATGCTATTTCTGTAGCTGAAAGTAACCTCTCCTGTTCCTGTGGATGTTTGCTCTTATATCCTTACACATAAAATTTCCCAATGATAGAATTGACTTTCAGTGCCTAAATACTACAAAGTAGTAGTGTGAAATTTGCCTAGAAACTCAAGCCATGAAAAAAAATCAAGGAAATTTCACTAGATATCAACTCCATCATATCAGAGAATGTGCTACACAACATGCTACTTCTTGGCTAGCCTGGACACCAGGCCAGTTTGGGCACACGGTGTCTGCTTCTCCATCCCTACATGATAATGCATATCACACAGCAGAATAGTAGATGAAACTAGATACTTCTTAAAAAAGGAAAATGGCAAGGAAAGATGAAGCACAGTGAACAATCTGTAGTCATGGATTGGAGAGCACAATTTAAAAATGGAAATGTTATTTATTGCACTGATACTGTAATTATAATGTAGTTTTTGTAGAACAATTACTGTCTTTATTAAGTGATTCATCGTAGGCCTCGCAGTTGAAAGCAATACAAATAATCTAGAGATGACTATTCGGTGCTGCAGAGACAAAAATGTAGTTCAAGCAGCAGAGACAGACCATCTGGCCTGAAATCACCTGCTGACTAAAGTTTTCCACATAGCCCTATCTAAAGGAAATGAAAGGCAGCCCCTGGGAGCTGCACCTCTAGGGACAAGTGCTCAGGATGCACCTGAATGACATGGCTGCCCACCATAATATGAGAGCACCTTTGAAGCAGCCACCTGTATTTTGCCAAGATGCACGGTGTATGGCCCCAGATGTGCGCCAGAAGCAGGTGGCTGAGGGAAGGAGCTTGCTTTTCAAGCTTAACATCTACCAAATAATACTGTGCTTCCCAGAAGCTCTAATATTGCACTGTACATTTATATTCATCCTGGTATTACCTGGGATATGCTGAGACTTGTGAGAAGAGTTGGTAATAAACTGCTGAAAAATCTGTTCATTACAGCTCAGTAATTTGTTTTGATATAGCCAAGAACACAGATCCAAGTCAGGATAAAGTTAGATGAGGCAGCATACATTATGCTACCTTGCACACTACAATCTGTTACAGATGAAAGTATTTTATGTAGGTCAGGCACTGCTTCCCTGGAGACAGACAAAGAGCCATAAGGAAATCAGAGCAGTGTTGGGCCTTATATTCCAGTGATCCAGTCTACTCCGCAGTTTCAATTATGCAGAGATTTGTGTGTCTCTGGTCTTGCCTATCAAAGTACTCTTCCCAATCAACTTCTGCAAGGCTAAGTATAGTGGACAGGACAGCATATATCTCATGATGCAAAACTAGGTAAAACTCCTCGCACTCACAAGGAGACAATAGTTTTGTCAGTTGACAAAAGAAAAGAAAAATCAAAGTGACACTAATTTTCAACTCATCGCAACACTGAGTTGCAAAATCAAGTTTTGGGAACAGAAGGCAGCTCTCCGTCCCTCACAGTGAGGAGAATGGTGTTATTAAAAGCAGCAGTCTTGCATTTCTCTTGCCCTTTCCTTAAAACTGTGCTGTAACAGAGGGGACCTGTGCTTCAGTCTTCTTGCAATAACACTTTATCTCTGACAGGTGGGAGAAAAAGAATTTCAGGAACCCAGAAGCAAAAATGAGTATATTTTGTTATATCTCACAGTCTCAGCAGAGAATTCTATATTTTTAAAATGAATTCCTTTTTCTGCTATTGTATAACAGTATGCTTTTATTCTGGCAACTAAAAAGCACAAAATACAAGCTTCCACTAACATTTCATAGCAGAGCTCAGAATTTAATTTTAGAACGCACATCACACCATTTTTCATTACCACCTATCTATCTAAGAATTTCTCTCATATCAAAATGCTGAAAGATTCTCAAACAGCACAGCACTGTATTTTCAGAATGGTATTTAGCTCTGAAGAGATATAGAAAGAAGTACACAAACCACACATAATACCACATATAGTAAACACATTAAGAGTGTATGATGGAAGAAGAAAATATGTACACTTAAGCATTTATTAATATCTTAATTCCTGTCCAGAGAGAAGGCAGCATAAATGCCTATATATTCCAGTTTGCTCCATAGAGGTTTTCCTAATTTAAATAAACTAAGTAATCCAGAAAGGCTTTTCCCATTACATCTGTAAGAAACTATCCTCCTCACCGAGCGTAGGATCACAGGTAAGCAGGGAGTTTTAGGTATCATCTCTGAGATTCTAACATTGTTACTTGAATGAAAGAACAATACCAAATTCTGCATTTCTATCCTTGTCCCAGATAAGCTCTTTAAAGAGATATAGGAGATTTGCTCTTCCCCTCCCCCTCACCCCCTCAAATACAACAATTTATACTACTACAGAGCTGTGGATCTCCTTTGCATGCCATCATCCATACATTTTTTACTGTTTTTTCCCCTGCAATAAGCAGCAAGCTGTATTTTAAATGTAAGCCACCAGTGCTGGTTGGTTATGTTCCTTACCCTGATTCCGAGCTCCACATTCTCTCCTCCGTATACTTCCATGCCTTCATCCAGTAAGCCAATCTCTTGGAAATATTCTCTATCTACTATGAAGCATCCAATCAATGCAGGACTTCTGGAAGAATAAAACAGTCGCAAGCAAAATTAGCAGATAGAATACGAATAATTTTATTATTCAGAAATAGATTATGTTTATAATTGCTGGGTCAAATGGTGCATCAAGAGAGATTCTTATGGAGGTGTTTCTCTAACAGATTTATCCAGCTTTGTCTTGTAATGTTCTTGCTTCTATGGTGAAATAAGTACCATTGAAGGAAAACAGACTCAAAATGATTCGACATACATATTCAGGTAGGATTTCAGTGCTAACAATTCCAGATCCAGGAGCCCCAACTTTTGTTTCTGAGGCATCAGCCATTCTAGTCTCTATCCCTGTTAAGTCCTCAGGTTTCTTGTCTGTGATAATTAACAAGGATACCCAATGATGCACAGTTTTGTGTCTCTAGCCAGAAGCTAGGTTCATCTACAGATAAGAAAACTTGTGTCTGTAAGCTTATGTAAAAGAGGAGATTGTTTCTTGTATAGGAACTTCCAGGTCAGGTTTTGCAATACAGAATCAAGAAATGTCTGCCATTACCAGCATACTGTAACACTAGTCCATTGTCCTGAGCCAAATTTAAACAAATCACATATCTTTACTGAATCAGTAAGCTCTACTTATGTCATGACCTGAATTAGCCAGCTTTTACTGTGCAGAGCCAATCTTAAGAAGGTAAGAGTTCAGGCACAGAGAGTACAATTTTACCTGTATGAGATGCAGTGGAGGAGAATACAGAGTAATTTAGCCTTTTCATTTTTCTCCTGCCTTATCATCCACAATGGCAAGAAATAAAAATGTCTTTTCTGATTATTATGCTGGTATCAGGAACTCTGGTAACAACAGGATATTAATTAGCAGTACAGGGAAAATCACTGCATTTACTGGGAACATTCAAGCTGCAGTAAGTGCAGACATCTGCTTTCAAACAGATTATAGGTTGTCTTAATCACAAATTGTACAATTCTACAGAAATCTATACATTTATGCCTTTAACTTGAAGTGCCATAGTACCCACTTTATAACAATGAAAGACTCTTTCTGTTGTATTTTTAAAGAAGAAAATAGCAGTTAACGTCACTTCAAAAATTATGCTTCTTTTATGACAAAGTACTCCTGCTTTTGGTGTTGTTTTTAAAGTATTTCAGAGTATCTGCTTCCCTTTGTTGTAATTCTAGAAGCATATTGGAGTCATGATAGAAGCCATCAATCAATACACATGGTGGGGTTTTTTCTCTCGTTCATTTTAATTATCCAGCACACACATACAGTGCATTGCACTGAATAAAAGGTGCCAGGGAAAGGGCTAGGGAACAAACCTAAACATCCAATATTCATAAAGGACATTCACTCCACAGTCTTCACATAGGACAGTTTTGGGATAAAATGGAAAAGTAGATTTTCTCTTTATTCTGAGTTTAAATACTTTTGATTTAAAAAGTCACCATAATTAGTATAGAAGGTTTGACTCTCCAGGATTTAGTAGAATATTTGGAGGCATTTTCATAATGTTAACAGAGTTCATTAACATTGAGAACCACTTCTAATGATGTGGAAATTAGCACCCCTTTTTACTCATGTCTGCGGCAAACCTGTGAATTTTTATCTCCTACTTTCCAATCCTGAGTCCTGTTCTAAGGAGCAGCATGTGGGTCAGTGCAGTTCAGAGCGTCTAAGCTGACAACTCAAAAAAAAAAGCTGTCTGCCTGAAAAGACAGAACTACTGGATGAAAGATACCCCTTACACTGATGGAAACTGATTGGTAGCAACAACCCCTTCACGCTGCCTCTGCTATTTAAGGTTCTGCTTTGCAGCTGATGAAAACAGTCTTCACTCTTTCTTTCTGCAGAGAGTGAGAGTATAGGTACCAGTGATCTCCTCGGTATGAATGCATAGCCAGAAAAAAGGCCTGGAATCTCAGCAGAGCTGCTGAAGGGATTCAGAGGCACTTACTCCTCTCCCAGAGGTAAGGGTGCTGTTCTGAACCAGCCTAAGAATACTCTAGACATGATAAGAACGTACAGAGCTAGATTGTACCAAAGCAAGGATCTAATACAGTCTTTGCTCACACACTCAGTGGACCAGCATTAACTCCTAGGACATAACACAGCTGTAAAGCTATGTGACAGTATTATAAAGAATACAACTGTCAGATCAGTTCTGTTTATATAATGCATTTGTAAAGAAAGTTCTGTTTCTTGCCCATTACCACTAAACTAGCTGACGAGACTTGGATAAAGCAGTGTGGCTGAGTACTCAAGTCCACCATTTCACTTCGGCTATGTGTTTTGCCCCATGCTAATAACAAGGAAACCTATTTATAAAGATGTACTGAAAACAACAGTTTTCTTGATGACTGTGTAGGGGTCAAGGACAAAAGCTGAAGAGGACAGCTCAAGGACAGTTAAACAATTTAACATCTAATTTAACACAACAGTCAGTAAAACCTATTGCAAAGCTGAGACCACTCACCATCTGTCATATTTAGATGAGCATTACCAGTGACACACTAATCTAGGTCACAGTTGCATGTTACCTTATTGGAGCAGTTGTGTTCTCCAGTCTCCACCATGACTTAGGAGGGTTCAGATATCGGCACCACAGCTCCCAGTCAAACCCCTGCGCTGAGAGGGGATACTCCTCTATTTCAAAATTATCATACTTAATGTTATCAAATGATGGAGAAATTACTCTTTTTCTGTTTTCTTTTATCCTAGTGAGCACTGGTTCAGCCCTAAAAAAAAGAAGAAAAAACCCAAAACATTAAGATTACATCGGTAGAAGCATAGCACTGATGGAAATAGCGGCTTATGCTGTATATTTCATAAAGGGCAAAGTCCATAGCTGTTACCCATTCAGAGCTCCCTTTCTTTGAGACAGAGTTTTGACAGAGCAGGATCTGCCCCAGAATAACACTGCAATATTTTATCTAGAATGCCCTATTATTAACTTTGATGTTAGCTGGTGAATAGAAGAAATGAGCATCTGCATATCACAGAGCATTTATACCCTTGCTACCAAATAACATCAACTGCAGGCTCTCAATATTATCAAGGACATCAAGATCAGAGTTAATAGTAGATCTATCCTAGGGCAAGAAGCTCCTGCCTTTTTACCATCTTTTTTACTCAAGAAGCAACAGATATTACATCCAGACTGAACAAGTTAAAATACATGGGTTTAGTTATGTGCTATTTTTGCACAGAGCAGCAACCTCAGTGCCAAAATGACACTTCTTTGTTTACACTGTAGAACATAAAAGAAACATAGTATTTTTAATGAAAAGAAGATAAATTTGCCCCTATGGGCAAAGGGCTACGTTATCAGAGGAGGTTTCTAAAGTGCAGGTTTCCAATATAGCTTAAATACAATGTAATTAGACCAGCAGATATCTCACACTATAAAAATGGATCTAGATTATGTTACACAGCATAAATACCTTTTTCATGCTTGTGTCTGAATCTTCATTAAAAAGAACAGAATGCTAATTCACCTTCTATATCCAAGAGAAACACCATTCAGTAATTTATACACAGTGCTTGGAAAAGGTCCCTTTGTCAGAGAAATTCAAGGAGACACATACCATCCCACATTGAACTCCACATGGGCATCAAAGAGAGCCACTACTGGTGCTGTGGCTACTCTCCATCCACTAACTCGAGATCGAATCAGCCCCTCTTGTTTGCTGTGTCGAACAACCTTGATGAAACCAGGCTTACGGGCATTCACTTCATCAACATACTTCTTTAGTTTCTCCTTGAGTTCTTCTGTGGAAAGGAAAGAATTAGATGTTAACAAGAAGTATCAGCTCAATGAGATGTAAAAACCTGTTCTTTCAGCAAAATAGGAGTCTTCACACATGCAAATACTCTCTTTTGATTTAACTACTAAGAATTGTCAAATAGTCAAGTCTAAAAGGAAGCAAACAAAATGCAGAAGGACCATAAATTATATAGTAATAAAAAAATTCCAGGTGTAACTATTTAGCCTACATGACTGACATCAGAATCCTGCCACTGTTTAACATTAACATGCCACAAAAGAAAGCACTCAATCATAACATACCATAGCTACGTAAGTGCGTATTATGTTACTGTAGCAACAAGCAAGATAACTATCTTATTATTTCCAGAAAAATATGCCTAAGTGTTTTCCACGAACTAACTTTACCAATATTTCAAGAAAAAAGAAAGAATAAAATGAATTATTTATCCTTTTTCCATTTTTCTTTCTAAACTTTGACAACTCTCTTCTATCTCTACTAAAAATTCCATGACTTCTGCTCTTTTCTCAGCAGAACAAAGTACCAGAGAAGAATCATTCCTAATTATAAATATGATAACTTTTTAATCAACAGTTATCATATCTCTAGTTTAAAGACCCCTGCATGAGAAAAATCCATTATGTAGAGCTGAAATAGTGAACACACTATTATTACTGAAAAGACTGTTCACTACTATTCCTTATTAGCATTGCTACGTTCTATTTATGTTGTGGTGCCACTCAGAATTCCCTTGGTGTTAAGTTTCCTTTCTTCCAAATCTCTCCACAAATCCAGAAATGTCTTTGCTGTGATGCAGAATAATGCCTCTGTGGTTACAATGCTAAACTGGATATCATCAAATCTGCATTAAAAGCTCAACGTTGCCTAGTCCTTTTTGTGAAATCTTGAGCAAGCCACTTCTCCATAATCAATTCCCCATCTGCAAAATGGGATGACCAGACTTACTACTTCTTTTCAGTTTATTTAGACTTTAAACTCTAGAGAACAGCAGTTTTATTTTTCTCTGCATTTGCCCAGCACTCTGGGGCACTGAGCTGAGGTGGCATCAGACAAGGGATGGCACCAGAGCCCAGCAGAGGAAGGAGTAGAACCCCACAGTCACCAGTGTGGGAGGGAATACAACTTCTGCTATGTTGGCTGGCCCAAATTGCTTCCCAATAAAATCCAGCAGAGTTTTTCTTTTAAAAGTAGCCAATGAGACTTTTGCTGTTTCGCTGGCATTAGCGGTGCAATCTGCTCCTAGCTATGCACCAGGGGGATGTTTCTGCATTGAGTCCGGGTAGCTTCTCATCATGGTAAGCCAACCACTCTGGGAACTGGTCGCCTCAAATAGATCTGGACAACATGCACGCTAGAATGGTTAATGCAACAGAAAAAAAAAAAGCAAGCACGCTTTATTAGCCACATTAAACGTTCATCCTTGGAAAGGAAGTGGATGTATCCTCTCTTAGGCTGACAAAGAGGAACAGAGCTGTTTCATGAGGTGTTCTCTAACCTTAAGACTTGGAACCCATACAACCTTAGCGGACCTACTCCTCTGAAGATACGGAGGAAAGGGCAAGATGGTTAAGTACAAAAACTTCTTAAATTCACCCCTCTTTGTAAAGACTCTCAGCCATCAAGCGTGATGTTCTTGCAGCTGGTTCCACTGACATTGCAGGACTGTGCCTGCCACATACCTTTGCATAAATGAACTCTCTGCATGGAAGTGAGAGAACACCAAAGAAAAGTGCTGATACTTACAGTTTTTCATGAAGAACAAGAATTAAATAGAAATAATCTGATGACCATGTCCATCACAGTACTTAAACTGCAGCTATTTTTTAGGAATGGACTCAATATATTTCTAAAATTTTCCAAATTATATTGCCAATATCTATTTAAATTATCTATGACTGCATCGCCTTGAATAAACAATATGAGGCATTAACACGTCACATACAGCACTATTCTACTTTGTATTAGACTTGCCGCACAGTGATCAATACACTTTTTCCCCTTATAACGTCAAAAAATCATATTCAGGTTTTCTATCATGCTTGTGCAAAGCCACATCTTCTTATTGTTCATCCCCTAACAGACATTTGTAGCAAGCACAAAACTATCAAACCAACCACCAGCACAGCACTTGAAATACAAAAGACGACATTTATGTTACTGAAATTGTGCCCACCTAAAAATAGTGCAAAACAGTTCTCTATTCCCAAAATGTAGCATTGTGGAGGGTGAATATCAAAACATGAAGATCAAAGCTTTGTTCTCAGTGTAAGCGGCTGTTCATAGCTTTGCAATACCAGGAAGCTTTATTTGCCACAAGAATGTGGCTTCACCACCGAGTATGAAATATATAAAGAGAAAGCAGGCTCTAATCAAGGACTTGAAAATCAGTACCCTTGATAGAGTCATTGTTCTCTCAATCACCTTCATTTTTAGCAAGTGGGTTATTCTTACTCCTGTCATATACTTTTCCTAATGTAGACTGAGTTTATAAGCTTGAGTAAACACAAAATCTTTTTCATACTAGGTGTAGTACGGAAATAGGTGGAAATGGAACAGAACCCAAATCTTGGCTTGCCACCAGCATGACTTCAGCTGCACTTTATAGCTGTGACATTTACTAGGCAGTACATACTTCTAATTTTCTGATTACACTGCAGCTTTTTGTGAATGAAGTGGCCTGAAAGAGTTTCAGGGGAATCTTGCAGACTTACCCATGGTCAGTCAGTATGAGGAATCCTTCCCTGGACTTCAGTATCAGCCTCAGGAGACAAAGTGCTGCACTTTACCTAGTCTTTTACACTGGCCCACAAGCATTGACTTACTTTGTAGCATGTTCTCAGGAGACAAAGCAATATTTTGCAGTCAGGTTATTTAAAACAGATTTGTCTTCCTTCGCAAAGGCAGAGTGCTGAGCAGAGCATTATGTGCACTCTTTGCCTTACAAAACCTATTGGGTAGACTCTCCCAGAAGAAAACAGAAGTCTACTAAAAAAATGTACCATTTTCACCCAGCCACAGGACACAGCAGACATGTAAATGAAGCTAAAAACTTCACTATCTTGGGAAGAACATTAAAGATGCCCTAGCAGGATACTTAAGTCAGGGTTTTTTCCATGCAACTCATGTTTTCCTGAGTTTTACATGAGAAATCAGAGTTCAATTGTCTTTGACAGTTTTGGAGCACCCTGCCCAACTGGACTGAATGATGGGATTCTCCCCCTAGAACTGATCATACATTTTGTGATAGCACTGATGGTCTTCAGCAATATATTTTTAACCCATGCTCTGGTTTTTTCCACTTCAGATATGTTGCATGAATAATAAACAGTCTTTTTCATTAATTATTGTGCTTCACTGCTTTATGCCACCATAGGGAGAAGAAAGGGAATGAGCAAATGTGTCATCTTCAATACACTGTTGATTCAGTTTCTAATTATGGAAACAAACAGGCTTATAAAGATAGATGCATTTGCCTTTCAGCACAGAATGTCTCAAATAAGGACTCAATTTGACTAAGCTGAATGAGTATCTGCAATTGGAGAGAAAGAGCAGCCGTATATGGAATGGGAAAACAGTGCCGATCTGGCACTTGGAAATGTTGCACTCTACCACCTGTCTCTATATAGTACGGATGTCTAGAAAGCACAGCACAACTCTCCTCATAAGTGTAGAAAACATAATCGATGTGCCATAATTAAGTTCTAATACTTCTAAGAGGTTGGTTGTTCATTTTTAACAAATCCACAAAGATTTTGTTTGTCAAGTTTCTCTATTCAGCATGACAAAGCAGTGCTGAAGAATTAGTTCATGCAACTTTGCCTTCTTAGGAAGGGGCAGAAGCAGGGCAGGATGGAGGCAGGGAGCATAATGAGTCAGAACACATCAGCCATCCCACAGCTACAGAGATCATATGTGAAGGCATCATTTAGTTCATGAAAATGCCTTCGCAAGGCCATCTTCCTTTCTGAGAAAACGGTGGGCTTCAGAGAGGTCCCAGCAATGCAACTGCTCTCCTTGCAATACTGCAGCTTGCTTAGCTTGTGCGAGTGGCCAGTCCTAGCTCAGAGGGGCTGTGTGGACCACAGTCCTGCCTGCTCTTCAAACACTGGGGGTTCTGGCGGGCCATACAATATGGAAAAGATTTCTCATCTATGCCTCAGGGAGTTTCTCAGAAGCAAAACCATCTGCAGATAACGTTCTTCATCCAGTCGCATGCAAGTTGCCTACATTTTGCATGCATCTTCCCTCCCTAAATTGGGAAGTTACCAGGCTAGATGCTCAATGATGTAAGGTGCCTTAGATCCATGGGACTCCAGTGTCCTACAGCAGCTGTGGATCTGTCCCCAGACTACAAATTTTAAAGTTATTGATACAGTGTTGTCAGAAATAATAAATTACTGCCTCACATTCATAGAGAAGTAGCTTAAAGAACAGTCAATTAAGTCTCACTTTCAATAATTTTCACGTTTTAATGTACTCCCATTCTGAGTGCTTGAAAGAGTCCTCACGTCTCTCAGAACAATTACATTTGTAAAGTCCCATGCTTTGCTGAGACAGATGCATTTTACTGACTTGTTAAAAACTCTTCTTCTTAGCTGTAAGTTTGCCAACAGAGCTAAAATAATAAATAAATAAATAAAGTAAAAGCTCTCTCATAACTCTATGCATTTTCTAAAGTCTAAAAGTCCCTGTTGACTTCGGTGCAGCAGAATGCATGCTGGATGTTACTGCCATCTCTGCAAGCCTTGTGCTTTTACCTTTATGGAAAAAATTATTTCCATGTCAAAGGCCCAGGAATTACCATGTCCCTCTTTAACCTTAGCACTTGGCACAAACATCGCTTCTTTTACTGTGAAGGGAAAGAATTTATTCCTCAATATAGAATGGGGTTTAAAGTAACAATTGTCGTCCCTGTGCCAGAAATTGTGGATTGGCACATTATACGAAAGGGGCAAAATCCTGCCAATTCATTACTTTTATG